GGGAAAGAGAGAGATTTAGCATAATGACGAGAAATAACGTTAAGAGGGATGATAATGGCGTCCTATTGTCAATTACCTCAATACAGTTCCTAAAAGACAAAGCTTTCCCCAGCTTTTTGTTTTCAGACATAATCTATGTTAAAAGAGAAAGAGTACCTGGCACATGTAATTTGACGCAAAGTCGTTGATTGCAATAACACCACAGTTAATTTGAGAAGCGATTTGTCTGGCACGACGCTGGCTTCTAGAAAATACAGCACAACCAAGCCCATATCTCGAATCGTTCGCTAGCCTTATGACCTCTTCATCGGTGCTAAATTTCATGATCGGCATGATCGGCCCGAAAGCCTGAATGTCATACATAATTACACAAGGAAGCCGTATTATATAACAGAATGCAGTAAAATGAAGCAACGGAAGCATATGACCAAAGGAACGTGGGTTCAGATAAACAGAGAGGGCATTACCTCTTCTTGCATTAACATCATACTGTGGTTTACATTTGCAAGAACGGTTGGAGGGAAATATTGATCGACTGCATCTTCACCCAGATGACCAAAGCTCCCACGGGCCGCAATCTCCGCTCCTTTGTCCAACGCGTCATTTACAAGGCTTTGTAGTCTTTCAGAGTGTTCTTGCAAGCATATAGCACCCATATCATACCTCCCAGCAAGGGGTGGACCCTATTGTACACATGAGCAAATTGTATTACTGTAACGGAAATATACGAATCTAAAAAAATGCATGCTGCAGGAACAGAAGCAAAATAAATATAGATGTTTGATGGCATTAGATGTAAATGCACATTCGTAAACTTTAAAATGTGAACTCTTCCATAGGCTTTACGTATGCTAAGAGGTATAGGCATGAGTTATGGGACAATGTTGCAAAAGGTAATATTATGTCCACTTGAGCGTAAAATATAAAGAGGAATGCAGGGTAAATGTCTCTTCTCTTGTGGGTTCTTACAGAAACAAAGCACTTACGGCAGAAACAGACTTCATGATCTTTGTTATTTGGCTGACGAATGCAGGGTAAATGTCTCTGTGAACGTAAAATCTTTCAGCACCAGCACAATTTTGCCCACTGGACTGAAGGGCACCCCTTACAGCCACTTGTGCAACCTACATTACAGATAAGGTGCCACAGTTTTCTTATATAAAATACCAGCTTATGTTGTTGAATGGGATAAGTACACAGAAGAGAGCTCTTACGTGGGAGACATCTACATCTTCGCACACAATAAATGCATCTTTTCCACCAAGTTCAAGAGTGATGGGTGTCAATGTCTCCGCAGCATTTCTCATGATCTGCAATGTTTTACATCAGTACAACTCAAAGATAGTGTAGAAGAAGCAGGAAGAAAGATGACAAACTATACCATCTTGCCAACGACTGTTGACCCAACAAATATCATTTTATCAACAGATGAGACAAGTGCTTCTCCTGTCTCTGCAAACCTACAAAGAGTGTTTTGCTTTGAGTAAATCAAAATGATAACTGCAAGTGAAGGGAACTGTTGGCAAAATACACACCCTGTGATCACATCGACAAGATTTTCAGGAGCTCCAACAGCAGCTAAAGCTGCCTGGATTATCCGGTAGTAAAAGCATCCTGACCAGCTTGCATGTTCCGATACCTACAAAAAGCAATCAGAACAGATACAGAAAGCAAAGTAAGAAGCGTGCCTCTGATGGAGATTAGTGAAACTCCCTCAATGTTTGAACTGCCCTTGAAGTCCATATCTTATAAGCAGGTGATGTGCTTAGCTTATTCAGATATGGAATGCAAACAAATGGGTATAGTCCCGAAAGACAAAATGAAGAGGCACCTAACAATTATAATTTGGGAAGGACATTGCAGTTTTACCTTAATGACAATGCTATTTCCTGAAAAGACTGCAGCCAGCATAGGATTGAAAATGTTGTGAAAGGGATAGTTCCATGGGACTATAGCTCCTATGACTCCAAGGGGATGAAACTCTACTTTTGATACTTTGTGGAGCATCGCTCTTCCAGAAGAACTGTGGACAAATCAGATCAGATAAAATACACATCTCAGTGCACCCAAATTAGATCATCCCATGATTAACTATGATAGCACAACTTGCTGTGTCCTAAATAAGCAAGAAACTATAATTATTTCTATAGAATGAGAGAAGTCAGCGAGAAAAAGAAAATAGAAAAATTCTGATACCGGTATTCAGGCTTTAACCATCTTTCACCCTCAGATAGAAGCCAAGTGATCTTCTCGCATGTTGTCATTATTTCTCCCAGGGAAGCATCCACCATAGTTTTCCCAGTATCACGTGAGGAGACTCTAAGGACACACAAGAATGTCTTGACATCAAACGCCAAGAACCAGGTCGACCAAAAAGCAAAACATGCACATCAAAGCACTAAAAAAAACAAACTAAACCTTACTCGCATATAAGTTCTTGGTGTTCAATAATATACTTCAGAAGAATTCGCAGAAACTGGCGTCTCTGCTTGAAGCTACTTTTTGCCCATATTTTCTGCGCATTCCTTGCTTGAGTCACTCGATCCTTAACCTAGACGACAAATTCGTGGATCAAAACTTGGAATAAGGTGCACCACTTTGAGAGGTAAACCTTAGCAGAACTATCAACATTAAAAGTTCATTAACAAATCCAGTCACAACGCACAAGAAATAGTATAGCTGCTAACCTCGGCGGGTGAAAGGGCGGGGAAAAACCCCAAATACTTCATTGTGGCAGGTTCATAGCACTGAACCTTTTTCTCTGATTGTTGGGTTCTTCCCCTTGGAGGAATCTTCACACCATTTGAGATAGAACCGATGATTCAGTCGGCATTTCATAAGATAGCATTTAACTTATACTAAACTGTATATAGCCACAAATTTGGAACCCAAATAGATGAATTAGCTGACAAACTACATCAATTAATCACGATTCAACGCCTTGAAGTAACAGGTATTGAAAAATCAAACTTAGTGTCATTGAGAACAAAATAGTGTAGAATAAATTCACACGATCTATGATATGAGGCTACGATTGTACTCGCCAAGTACTGCGATAACTAAATCAGAGACCAAAAAAACAGCACGAACATTCATGAACAAACATGGCAAACTTCCTAAAATGACGATAAATTTCCTCAAATAATGCCGATGAAATCCGAGTAACGATACCGTCGAGGACTCACATAAATGAAGCTATTCTCATCCGTGTCTTTCCCATGCGCCAAAACTGGACAAATTCGATCAACCACCACCGAATCAGACGTCGAACAAGCGATTACATACACAAATGCACTATCTCGTACGAAAAAAAATACGCGAAACCAAGCATTCATTCGCAGAGCTCCGAGCCACTAGAGATTAAGAGGAAGAAGAAGATGATGAAAGAGATACCGTCGGATGCGTCGACTTCGATTGAAGGAACATTGGGAGGAATGAGCATCAGAAGGAATTTACAGATCGCGTAAGCGAAGGCGATGACAATCAAAGGCCACCAGAACGGCATTTTCCTTCGACTTCGATCGGATATTCTTCAGCTAGGGCTGGCAGAAACCAAAACCAAGCGATTTCACGACGACTCGACGATGAATATATCCGCGATTTCGTTTGGAACAGTCGTACAACTTAGTGGAAACAACGAGGCCGAGACTTAATAAAAGCACTCCCAAAATATTCTCTCGTTTGAATCTCTTTCTCGTCGTTGTCTGATGTTCGCTCGAGTCCACTGAAACTGTGGGAAAAATGGCACAGGCGGTAATTTTACGGAACTTCTGGGGTAATCTAAGAGGACAAACAATGGATGCGTCACGAGAAGCTGCGTCCACGTCGAGGTAAAATAAAATCCAATTGACATGAACACGCTCACAGCGTCAGCGTTTGCGTTCGCGTTCGCCGACAGCGTTTGCGTCTATAAATGTGGAAGGTGGTATTCACAATTACTCGAGCCATTTCTTCATGTGTTGTGGTTGGAGTCGCTACTGAACTCAATGGGATCGCCATTTACTCGAACAAATTTGTCAACATCGCCAGATGTTTCGCCTGATTAGAATCATTGGAATTCTTATTTGCTAATTAGAATAATGGTAATATTTATGAGAAAAAAAACATCATGCATTCTGAAAATACAAACCAAGTATTTTATATATTTATTATCCAAACTCAACCTAAATCACGTGAATAACCAAAATTACGAAACTGGTTGGGCTTGGAATAGGATTTGGTAATTTTGTCCACCCATATTTATGATTATAAATTGACCAATAACAATAACAACATCTGCTCTATGAATATGAAGTAGGTCACAGAACTACGAGTGGATCGCTCTTCCCAAATTAACCATGAGACTGACAATGCAATTTCAGCACTATATATTATATATACTAAAAATGTTAAAAGCAGGAATCGTGGATTTGAGGGTTTTAAGAAAAGGGCCTAACAAAACCCATTTAATCGTTTTTGCTCCTAATTATAAACAAAACCTTAATTAATGATCACAGAGATAAAAAAGAAATGTGTCGTTAGTAACGTATTAAATAACGCTGGTGAGTGGCTATATATAGATTGTGTTGGATAAGAATTCTTGAATGAAGGAAGTAAATGCGTAGTAAATACAACAACGGTTAGGAGCCGAGGGCCTTGACCTATTTTCCCGGAAAGCTTCTCAATCTTCCGGGAATATTACTTAACCGCTCGGAAAATTAAATCCCCATTTACGTTCTCTGCATTCTCTTCTCTCCCACTCTTGCATTTTCCCCCCATTTCTCCCCAGGATCAGAAACGAAGGGGGAAAATGGATACAAACAAAAACCTCGGGGCCATCGTCGTCATCGCGGTTTCGGCTTTGTTCGCACTCTTCACCTCTGTCGATTCCGAATGTGTTCCTCTCCTCAATTCCTACGTCGCCAGGTCTCTGCTTCCCGTTTTCCTGCCATCGAACACTGAAGCTCCGTCTCCGGCTCCGTCGCAGGATACTTTGTCGCCGTCTCCGGAGATTCCGGCCCCGAAAGCGGCTGCACCTACAATGCCTTCGTCGCGGAAAGTGTCTCCGGGGGTTGTCCCCGCAGTAACGACTTCTCCGGCGAATCCTCCGTCGCTGAGCGAGCCCATGGCTCCGTCGCCGAATGAGCCATTGATCTCTTCGGGAGAAGGTCTGGGTCTGATACCACAATTACTCCCTCCGGAGATCAAAACCGTCTGCGCAGAAACTGATTTCCCTGCTCTCTGCGAATCCTCGATCCAGCCTCTTCTGACGGGTCAAACCAAACCCGACCCGGAATCGGTCCTCCTCCTCATGATCCGGGCGTCGCACGACGCGACGAAATCGGCGCTGGACGTCGTCAGGAAACTCGCCGAGGAAGGAGGCGCAGCCTCAGACTGCGAGGAGCTGTACGACCTTGCCGTTCGGAACTTCGACGACGCCGTTGAGGCCGCCAAGTCACGTGACTCCGGCACGCTTAACATCAATCTGAGCGCGGCTATGACGGACTTCGTCACGTGCAGCGACGGGTTCGAGGAAATGGGCGAGCCGAATCCGTTAGCGGACGTTGGCGACAAGCTGATGAAGATGGCGAGCAACTGTCTCGCGATATCTACGTCGTCGTTGATTAAGTTCTAAACTTTATGATGATGATGATATATATGTATATACATATATATATATATATATATGTGATACGAAACGTCGTCGTTTCTCGTTGTTTCTGAGTGGGGTGAACATTGTACTACAGTCGTTTTATGCTTAAACAGTTTAAATTAGGTTTCCGCATCATATTCAGAGGCTCCTGAGTGTGTATATATATATACACACAGTATACATATTTATATATTTATACATATTTATATTAATATACCTCTTTGGTATGTTGTATTTGCCGTGAAACACGTAAATGAGTAAATATTATACAATAAGGGGTGTGTGTGTGTATGAGAGAGAGAGAGAGAGAGAGAGAGAGAGAGAGAAGGGAGTTTAGATGCATGGGGATTCTAATGGCAATGCCTTCGTGTGATGGCAATCTAACAATGACACGGGGAGTCATATTATTGCCAGACTAAGAATACCCATTTGGCGGAGTTCTATTAGCTCCCTTCCATGTTTTTACGTAAATTCTATACAGTAGAACGTGCATGTGTGGACAAAATTTTCCAAAAATCATGAATTTATTTCGATGTGTGTATATATATATATATATATATATATCCTGTTAATACTTAAAAATTACAGCAAATGAAGATTTAACATCTATAAGAATCAATGCAAAAAGGGAATTTGGTATGTCGAAGAAAGAAAAGAATCAGTAAAGGATGTGTTTGTACAGGTTTTTGATTGAATAGATACGAAAATATTTGTAGAATTATATATATGTGTGTGATTTTTAACAGCATATATTTTAGCTTTGTACTCGACATTTAACAACAAACGTCTGATTTAAATTATTATTGTATATAATTTATCTATTGTATATATTTCGACCACTTTTATTGGTATAATAGATCAATATAAACTAGTAATTGGGCCTAAGGCTGTTACGTTGGGGCCCATTATGAGTTTCTGGAAACCGTACGGGCAAAGAAGTGAGAGAACGAGCGCGCGCAAAAAGAAAGAAAAAAAGAAAAGAAAAGGGCAAAAAAGGAGGAGGTTTGGGAAAACGAAGGCGATGATATACACACATTGTTCCTTTTTCACCAAAAATGGCATAAATTTATCTTCCTTATTTACCCTTTGCCTAAATACACATTGCCCTCCCCCCTCTCTACTCTCCGGAGACTCCCCCTCGGCTTGTCCTAGGGTTTCTCTCTCCGCCATCTCCGTGACGTAAGTACCTTGTGTAGGCATTCGTCGTTTCCTCTCTCTTCGTCTGCTGTTTGTTTCTCGGGAAATTGTTTGGATTTAAGGTTCTCGCCTCTCGTGTTCTCTTTTCCTCGTTTGCCGGATTTCAATGAATCTTGAGATATCCTAACGTAGTGATACTTTCTAATTCTCGTAACGTGTCTGGGTTTTGGATAAGTCCTACTTACTCTATCCAGAGAACTTGTTGCTGTTTATGTCACTCTTGTTTCTCGGTTTCGTTGGTTAATATCGATTTTTGCCGAGAATGGCGGTTCTAATTTTATGTGAAAAATGATGTTCGTGTTCTTATTCGTACTTGCAATGTAGTGAATTTCCGAGCATAAGTAGGTTTAACTTATTCGCCGCCGAGAATTTTATCCCGGCGATGGAATTTGCGAGAGGGCCATCGTCAATATATTGAACAAGGAGAAAGGAAAAGAAAGTCAAGCTTAGGTTTGGATTCGAATGAACCATTTTAACCGCATCGTTTACTGTATTATGTGTATGAGCTTTGTAGTAGAAACTGTAGAATTACACGCCCTTTTAAGTATGGTTTGCCATTGCATGTGTATTGATTTGGTCACCGTATTCAGGATACTGCTTGCAGCGAATCTTTATCCATATTTCCGTAAATTGCAATTGCAATGGAGAGATTTGAAGGTTCTACATTAGCAATAGCTGGCTTTTCTATTCGGAGAAAGAGATCCACCGTGTCCCGTGTACCGCGTGTTATATCAGGGACTTCCAATTGCTTCACTTTTCTGCCGTCTTCGACAGAGGTGTCCACTAGTCTTCCTTTTGAGGAGAACACGGCTTTCAGGAACGTGGGTCATCTGAGTCGACATGCCACTGTGAACAAAGTGAAGTTCAAGTTTAAGACAGATGGCGCTGCTCGAGAAATCAAAACCAATTCGATGTCTGATATCAACGGGGAGAGACCTACTTGCCATTCTCATGGGATTCAGTCAGCAGAATTCCAGGTAGTTATTGCTGAATCTGTGGTAAAACTATACCTGCTATAAGTTAAGCTTCGTTATTGAAGTCTGCAAACTGTTCTTGCAATATCAGAAATAGTTATGTGTTGTTCTTGCAATATCAACGTCCTTTAGGTTTCATTGCTCTCTGGTTTTTTCCAGTGCTGTGATAGTTTTTTGCCTTTCACATTCTAGCGATGTCCAACCCTTGTATAGGTGTTATCCAGTCATTCATAATGCAGAGTAAGGTTAGCTATATCTGTTAGCCTCGTCATTGATGAACACCGATTCTATCAACATACATACGTCAATCGGTATGCGTGGGCTTGTTTCAAGTTTGGCCAACCAGAGGCTGAATTACCAACACCAGGAATTTCCATTTTCTGCTACATTTACAATTTTCCATTTTATAACAGCTGCTCTTTTCTAGTTTCTGTTACTTCTGCATTATGGTTTTGTGATACTGTCAGCGATGGTGTCTAAAAGGGAGGGAGGGAAAATAATTTTCTTGAAGCTTTCGGCCAGGGCAGATTTTGGGAATGGGGACTCAAACATTTGTCTCGAAATTCATCATTTATTAACAAATTTAAATAGAGTTTATGGTTTGCCATGGTCAGCTTATGGAGACATCACCAATGCAGGACGAAAGACAAAGTTCATTTCCATATAAGGTAGAAGGCAATGGGTTACAACAGAGACATGTGCAGAAAACAATCTGTCTGGCAGAGATTCATCAATTTAGAGAGAAGCCCTCCGAGATTGTGAATGGAACATCTATGTCCAAATCAGTTCGAAAGAGCAAAAAAGGTCTTAAGAGGCGTGTATTGGATGAGGAACTAGACAGTGATGATGGAGATGAAGAAATCAGATACCTTGAGAAGTTAAAGTCTAAGAGGACTTCCAGAGTCTCTGAAGCTGAGGAGGAGGAAGAGGAGGAAGAACATCTCTCAGAAGATAAATTCGGTACACGGAAGAAGAAACCAATAATGTGTATGGTTGATTCTTTCCCAGCAGGAGCAAGTGGGCAGACTCCTACTACGCGCACTCGGGCTCTCCAGTCTGGGAAAGATGCTTCTTCTCTCCCTGGTTCGGGTCTTCTTGAATTCCCGGATGGCTTACCTTCAGCCCCTTCCAAAAGTGGGTTATACTTTTTTTTTTTCTCTATGTTGCTTTTGCCTCACTTACAATTCATGAGGCTGATTTTGTAACTTCCGAATGATTGTAGGACAAAGACAGAAGCTTTCTGAAATGGAACAACAGTCCAAGAAAGCTGAAGCTGCTCAGAGACGACGAATGCAGTCAGAGAAGGCTGCCAGAGATGCCGAGGTAACTTACTTTCATCCTATCTTACCAACACTTCGGGACATGAAACCATGAGTTCTGTCTACATTTCAGGCTGAAGCTATCAGAAAAATACTAGGGCAAGATTCCGGGAGAAAGAAGAGAGAGGAGAAGATAAGAAAACAACAGGAAGAACTTGCACGGGTAGGTACTCCTATTGTAGATGATCACTTTTCTCTTCAAACCCGAGCTCATGTAGTTATTTGTGCACTGACTACTTCACGACTTCCCCCTGCACAGGAGAGAGCCGCGAAATCAAACACAGTCGCGGCGAACACCATTAGATGGGTCACTGGTCCAAGTGGAACGACCGTGACTTTTTCTGAAGATATTGGTCTCCCAGATATATTCAGACCGGTCACATTCAGGTAATGTCAACCATCTCCAAGGCTTACAACGACAGTGAACTGTCACGATGTCTGAATCTCATATTAGATTCTACCTTTTCGAGTTTCAGTTATCCTCCTGCACGGGAAAAATGCGTCGGGCCAAACTGTACCAACGCATACAAGTACCGGGATTCAAAGTCGAAACTTCCTCTATGCAGTCTGCATTGTTACAAGGCAATACAAGAGAAGAAGATGCAACCTCTTATTACATGCTAGCAATCAACAAGGGGATTTTTTGCTAACCGAGTCAAAGAAACAGGATAAAGATTGCGGCAGAGTTGTGCCATGACCAATGCAAAACGAAGAGAGTTCCATGGTTGGGATGAAAACATTGGGATTGCAATTAAAGGGTATAATGCCGAGTACACACATTGTTCGTCTTCGGTGCTTTTTTTAGCTCACGAAGCAAGATGAAAACAGCACAAAATATTGTTTGTAGAATTAATTACGACAATTAACACACTGGACGGTATTTACTTAACAGGTGGATGGACATTTTCATTTTTGTGAAGCCTATGATCCATCCATGAATAGAGGAGCTCCATAACCACTGGATTTTATGAATTTCTTCAGAAGAAGAACCACAATGGCAATGGTGAGTCCTATGGCAGCCCATGTGAAGAGGCGGTCATCGGCTGGTTTCTGCTCGCGGGTCTGTGACCTCTGCAGTGACTGGTTGCTCAAGTCTCTTGCGGGGGCCTCCGAGGTTGTGCTTGTAAGGATTGGGTTAGGATTAGAGTTAGGGTTTAGAGGAACTTCAGGCACTTCTGTGTAATTGGCAACTACTTGATCCTGTGGTTCTTCCCCATCCGAGGCACTCCCATTTTGTAACCTTTCCTGAGAATTCTCTTCTCCATCGACGGTTGGTGATCCAGTGGGTTCCGGAGATTTCAGTTGTGGAACAGAGTGAACCTTGCTCAACATATACTCGTGGATCTGTCATCATATGATTAGCATACATTGTGGTTACGAGTAAAATGAGCAAGTGATATTCTGTGTTGTGCGCTCTTTACCTCATCGATCACCCGTTGACGTTCAGGAGTGCCAAACTTAGGAGCAGCTTCACGAGATTTGGCGGCTAGTCCACGTCTCTCTTCTTTAGGGTAGTCGAGTGAACCCAGTGCGCCGTTTGGACTCGTGGGCATGAATGTGATAAGTGCCATCAAAGCCGTTCTCACTGCCACCGATACCGTGTGTGCGTGTATATATACGGTGAAAGATGAGTAAGATGATACGATAACATCAGAAGAGACTGAAGCATTTAAGTTAAAGATATCAGGTTTTTACCACTCCATGAGGGCTGCCAATGCTCGGGATGGTAATTGGATATGCTCAGACAAATCTTGGTCTGTGTTTCGAACCGACCGTTCGGCTACAACAATGTTTTCACACACAACCCATTGTTACGATATTTGTGTGAGAAGTCGGATAAAATGGGGTTGAAGAATAAACAAATCTCACCGTTAATAACATGAAAGCCGGGGGCTTGAAGGGGTACTCCGCCGGTAACTGAATCCGTCCATGGTAAATTCCGCCCTCGAATTCTGTATCCGGAGGTCCTCTTATGGCGAATTGCCATTCAAATATATTCTCCTGCACACAGAAATGGACCAGAATTTACATCAAACTGTAACTTCTCTCAAACGGCCAAATTCAAATTCCTCTCCCGAATCGTCAGTTAGCTCTCAAAAACTCCATTTCCCAACATTGAAAGGGAGAATTATCAGCAGTACACTACAAATCTCAATTTCGAAACCCTAAATCGATCTTTTATCCAGTTTTTTTGACAGATTTTATCCCACAGATCGAGCTCTGTCAATCAAACGGTGGCCAGAATCGAAATCGCGAAGAAATTCAAAAACAAAGAGGGAGGAAAGGGAACAACGACAAAAAAGGAGATTAGGACAGAGACAAGGGTCGGAACCTCGAGAGGGAGACTCATGAAATCATCGGAGGGATTCTCTTGCATCTCCTTCACCTCCTGGAGGATCCGCTTCACGGCGGGGTTCTTACGGTTGTACTTCTCCTCCGCCATTGATCTTACCGTCTCCGATCAAAGCTACCGCCGGCTAACTCGGCCTATACAATTACCGATACAAGCGTATATACGAATAACGAGAGGAACACAGAACTGTGACAAATTTGAAGTATTGATGGGAGGTCCACGTCGGTGGAGCTGGAAGCAACAGAGACGGCGACTTGGGCTATATCCTTGACACGTAAGCCATCTGTCCTATGGTTGACGTGGCGATTATTTTCAAAATTGCGTGCACCTTGCGTAAAGGAATCTGAGATCCGGGCCGGATCGGATCGTAATGGGCCTTATATAGGCCCATTATGTAGTGGACCTCATATAGACCCATTATGTAGTGGCCTTATATAGGCCCATTATGTAGTGGGGCGAAATTTGAAATCCAGTAGAGATGCTTCTCTGTTTCGCGGTTTTTTTTTTTTCAGGGGATGTTCTGTTCTCCCGTTGATTCTGCAAGTAAAATCCCAAATCGTCGCTAGGGCTTCTATTCTTTTTAATGCTCGGATGATATGCGGAATTGAGTTTCTTCGATCGTGAAGCTGTGGAAATCTGCGGGAATTAAGGTAAGAGTTCTTGGCGTATGCTTCGAATCTGTCGAAAATTGTTGCTTGAAGATTTTTTTTTAAGATCTTCGTGACGAGTGGGGAAAAAAAGTCCTGTTCTTGATCTGGGAATCAAAGATCGTAAGAAATACGGATTGATTTTGATGAGAGATTGAATATTGCTATGACATTGTAGTTGTTAAATATAATCCAAATCAGCACACGTAAATGACGAAGCAGTTAGTATTGCAGTTATTTGTATGTTGTTTTAAGTTAGTGGTCTGACAGTTTCTTTTCTAAGTATTTTTACATATGTATGTTGTTTCGTATATGTATGGTTTTTTAATGAAGAAAGAGCAGAAAATTTGCAGAACATCACGTACCTCTGCTTTTCAGTCCAGTAACAAAACAAATTGCAGCCAACAAAATTGGTATAAGAGCACGGTTGTTCTTGGGGTAGGTGATGGCGGAATCTGGCAGCAGCACAGTGAGTGTGACGCATCCTGCGATTCCATTGTTCAAAGGTGAAAATTATGAATTTTGGAGTATCAAGATGAAGACCCTTTTCAAATCACATGGTTTGTGGGAACTGGTTGAGAATGGAACAGGAACCACAGCAGAAGACTTGAAGAAAGATGCAAAAGCCTTGTTTCTCATCCAACAAGCAGTGGATGAAACATTTTTTCAAAAATTGCTGCAGCAGAGACAGCGAAAGATGCGTGGACAACTCTGAAAACCGCATTTCCGGGGAGTTCTAAAGTAGTTGCGATCAAATTGCAAGGGTTGCGAAGAGAGTTTGAAACTCTAAGCATGCATAATGGAGAAGCAGTTCAGAATTTTCTTTCAAGAGTTGCGGGAATTGTAAATCAAATGCGTGGTTTAGGGGAAGAGATTTCAGAAAAAACGGTGGTTGAAAAAGTCTTGAGGAGTCTAACTCCTAAGTTTGATCATGTTGTGGCAGCAATTGAAGAATCTAAAAATCTTGCGACATATACCTTTGATGAACTTATGGGATCCCTGCAAATCCATGAAGTTCGTCTTAACAGATCAGATACGAAAGATGACACCAAAGCCTTCTACTGCAAAGGTGTGCAGCAAGGTAGAGGACGTGCCCGAGGTCGAGGCGGTGAAAGAGGCCGAAGCGATTATGCTGGAAGAGGAAGGGGAAGAGGTAGATCAAATGACAGTTTTCAAAATTCTGTCAAACATCAACACAAAGATTTGGAGTGTTATTATTGTCACAAAGTTGGACATGTTCAAGGAGATTGCTACAAGAAACAGAGAGATGAAGGTCAAAATATGAAGTGTTATTATTGCCACAGATTTGGTCACATGCAAGCTGACTGTTACAAGAAGAAAAGAGAAGAAGGGCAAGCAAGTTTTGCTGAAGAGAAACAAGATCAACCACGCTTGTTTATGGCAAAAACAAGCGAACAATCAGATTTAAGTCGAATCTGGTTTCTGGACAGCGGTTGTTCAAATCATATGTCAGGATTCAAACATCTATTTGCTGAAATAGATGAGACATACAAGAAGATCGTGAAGCTTGAAGATGACAAGGATATTCATGTTGAAGGAAAAGGGAAAGTGCTGGTGCAAACCAATGATCAAAATACAAGTTTCGAAGGTGAAAAGTGTGAAGTGACAGATGCTGCTACAAATCAGATTATGGCAATAGTTAACAAGACTGCAAATAATCTATTTCCGCTGGAGATTGAAAAGGTGAAAGAAAAAGCACTTGCAGCAAAGGATATTAGTTCAAATCAGTTATGGCATCTGAGGTATGGTCATCTAAGCATAAATGGATTGAAGTTGCTGAATCAAAAGAAAATGGTTGTTGGTTTACCAGACATAGCTGATATTGGATTATGCGAGGGTTGTGTTTACGGCAAGCAAGCAAAGCTGCCATTTCCAAAAGATCAAGCAATGCGTGCGACGAAGGTGCTCGAATTGGTCCATACTGATTTATGTGGGCCAATGGAAACTCAATCAATGGGAGGAAGTAAGTATTTCATGTTGTTCATTGATGATTATAGTCGGATGACATGGGTATATATTCTGACTTATAAAAGCGAGGCATTTGGGATGTTTAAGAAGTTCAAAGCCATGACAGAAACTCAAACGGGTTCTAGACTGAAAGCTTTGAGATCGGATCGTGGTGGTGAGTTTCAGTCACGCGAATTCAAGGAATTTTGTGAAAAAGAAGGAATTCTGCATCAGCTAACTATCCCATATACACCTGAACAAAACGGTGTCGCCGAACGCAAGAATCGTACGGTAGTAGAATTGGCAAGAAGTATGTTAAAATCAAAGGACTTACAAAATCTGTTCTGGGCCGAAGCTGTCGCGACTGCAGTGTATTTGCTGAATTTATCGCCTACAAAAGCTGTCATGAATAAAACTCCTTTTGAAGCCTGGTTTGGAAGAAAGCCTGTAGTTGGACATTTAAGAGTGTTTGGATGCATTGCATACACTTTGATCAGCACACCTAGCAGAAAGAAACTGGATGCCAAGTCAGAAAAGTGCATATTCATTGGATACTGTATACAATCTAAAGGCTACAGATTGTATAATCCTGTGACAAAGAAGATTCAGGTTGGTCGAAACATTATGTTTGATGAAAATGCAAGCTGGAAATGGTCTAAAGAAAATTCAGCAAACAACACAATTATGGAAGAGGAGGAAGGTAACAATAATGAGTCACAACATCACATTGATACAAGCATTGGAGATGAAACAGAGCAACAACTTTCAGATTCGAGCGATTCGAGTGATAGTCCTGAATTTCCAGCAAGAAAAATGAAAACAATCCAGGAGTTGTATGAGTCTACTCAAGTTCTGTATGTTGCAGATCCTATGACATTTGAAGAGGCAACAAATAGAGAGGAATGGTGTCAAGCAATGCAAGAAGAAGTGGCAGCAATAGAGAAGAACAAAACATGGCAGTTGGTCGAACTTCCCGATAGCAAACATGCAATAGGAGTAAAATGGGTTTACAGAACAAAGTTTGATGCAGATGGAAATGTGCAGAAATATAAAGCAAGGTTAGTGGCGAAGGGTTATGCTCAAGAGTATGGAGTAGATTACGAGGAAACATTCTCTCCGGTTGCAAGGTTTGAAACAGTAAGGTTGCTATTGGCATTGGCAGCTTATATGAAGATACTTGTTTATCAGTTTGATGTGAAGTCGGCTTTTCTCAATGGGGAATTACTTGAAGAGGTTTATGTTGAGCAACCCATAGGATTTAAGGTGAAAGGCAAAGAACATTGGGTGTATCGATTGTTCAAAGCATTATACGGATTGAAGCAAGCTCCACGTGCTTGGTATAGCAAGATTGATTCACATTTCCAGAAATTGGGTTTTGAGCGAAGCAAAAATGAGCCCAGCCTATATGTCAAACGTAAGGGAGACAAAGATCTATGGTTGTGTGTTTGTATGTTGATGACATGATTTATTTTGGTACTAATGATGCAATGGTTAAAGAGTTCAAGGAGCAAATGATGTCAATCTTTGAGATGACAGATCTGGGAGAGTTGCATTACTTCCTAGGGCTGGAAGTTGAACAAGAGAATGGAAAAATCTTTATTTCTCAGCGGAAGTATGCCAATGATTTGGTCGCCAAGTTCGGGTTAAAGGGTTGTAATGCTGTACAAACCCCTATGAATACAAACGAGAAGTTGACAACAAATGATGGAAGTGGAGCAGCAAATGTGACTCAATTCAGAAGTCTAATAGGTGGCTTGATGTACTTGACGCACACAAGGCCAGATGTCGCACATGCAGTTGGGTTAGTTGCAAGGTTTATGCAAAATCCAACTAAACAACACATGGGAGCAGCAAAGAGAATTCTTCGCTACATTGCAGCAACATCAAGTTATGGGTTATGGTACAACACAAGTGATGAACCTCGTTTGCTGGGTTTCAGCGATAGCGATTGGGCAGGCAGTGTAGATGATCGTAAGAGCACAACAGGTCATGTGTTCTTTTTCGGAAACAGTGTGATCAGCTGGAACTCAAAGAAACAACCGACAGTTGCATTATCTACCGCAGAAGCTGAGTACAATGCAGTAACATCAGCATCGTGTCAAGGTGTTTGGTTAAGACGTTTGTTGCAAGAGTTAAATGTGGAGCAGAAAGATGCGACAACAATTTTGTGCGATAATCAGTCAACAATCTCTATTGGGAACAATCTGGTACATCACAACAGAACCAAGCATATCGACATTCGTCTTCACTTTGTGCGAGATTTGATTGAAGAAAAGGTGATCAAGTTGCAGTACATAAACACAAATCAGCAAGTTGCAGATGTGTTCACGAAGTCACTAACAAGGGAGAAATTCAAATGGTGTCGTGACATGATGAATGTGCTGGAGTTTGGATTAAGGAGGGGTGTTAAATATAATCCAAATCAGCACACGTAAATGACGAAGCAGTTAGTATTGCAGTTATTTGTATGTTGTTTTAAGTTAGTGGTCTGACAGTTTCTTTTCTAAGTATTTTTACATATGTATGTTGTTTCGTATATGTATGGTTTTTTAATGAAGAAAGAGCAGAAAATTTGCAGAACATCACGTACCTCTGCTTTTCAGTCCAGTAACAAAACAAATTGCAGCCAACAGTAGTAACTGTTGTTTATGAATATGATAAAACAATCTGGTTTTTGGAACATACAGACAAACGTTCGAGACAAAGGCATGGCGTTACAACAAACAACACCATCTTCTTCTTCTCCTTCTTGGGCTTATGTCTTGAACAATCCATACGACATTGCAGGTTGCAGAGAACCAAAACCATCACTCCCTACAGAAAACCCTAATGGCCATGTTCTTCGGCAATCTCCTACTGCGCTTTCCGCATTCTGATCGCTGTCCTGCGTCGATTTCTCCGTGATCTTCTCCAGTTTGGCCAGGTAGTTCGTCAATCTCTTCTTCTCCGACATCAAAAACTTGTTCTCCGATTCGATCGTTGTTAGGGTTTGGCTCATGAACCTGCATTTGTCGTTGTTCTCTTTGATTTTCCTCTCCAAGGTGGAGATCTCACGGATCATGTCCTCCATTTGCTTCTGTTTCTTCAATCTCGATCTTCTCGCTGACTCTCTGTTCGATATCATGCGTTTTCTCTTCTTCTCGTCCATCGTCGCGTATCTTCCGTCATTGTCTGAACCAGAGCTCGTTGTCTGGGGGGTCCTTGCCATTTTCTGACTTGCCTAACACGTAACAAAGATTTTTGTCCTAACAAAAATTACTGCGTTTTTTCAGGTCCTATAAACGAAAACTAAGGTGGGAGCGAATAGAAGAGAAGGATCTCAAGAGATAACGTAGAACCAGTGGAGGATCACGACAGAAACAGAGTGGAAGACGAGACACCGAGAGAATTCGGTGAGATTTCTCATATCATAACCACTTTGATCGGCATTTCTGTGATACAACTCAAGAATCTCAACGATTTTCCTGTCTGAAAAGCTCAAGAATCACAAAGATCTCGACAAAGCCTTTGGCTTGTTTTCCAGAGGATATATGGATGAATGGCAGCGGTACGAAAGAATTTTCTCAGATCATAAACCGCGTGACGAGCAATTCTCGTAAGAATTAAGAGATCGAACAAGAACTCTCAAGACTTTTTCAAGATATGATGTCGACGAATGAGAGATTTGGTGTCTTGGAATTGCAGGGATTTGGAGATCAGAAGCAAAAGAGAACACGGAAGAGGATAAGGATAAGAACGAAGAGAGAAAGTGGAGGGAGGGTGTGAACGTTCAAGACGAGAGGTATTTATAGTAAATAAAAGCTACCGGTAAGTTTTATTATATGGCAATAAATAAGAAGAATATTCCCCGAAGGAGGAATCAGACAATGGAGACAAGATATTATTTTGACTGCATTTAAGATTGTAATGTTATCTTGCTTTAAAAAAAAACAATTTCCTTTTATATTGGAGGACAGACCCATTTACTATTTTTAGCATTTACCAAATTTATTTTTCAGTTGTCATATTTAAAGGATAAGACCAGAAGTTTCCTGACATGTTTGTCGTGCAACCTGTCTTGTTTTTTTTTTTAATTTATTTATGGTATGGTAACACACTTTTTTTAAAATTTTTGTTAGATTAATTTTTTTTATAATTTAGAACATGTATTTATTATTAGTTAATTAATTTTTTGTTTAAGTGTTTCCAACACGTGGGTTTTGCAAATTATACTAGTTAACTAAAATAGAGATACATTGTTGATAAGGAATCACCCTTTTTCAAACCAAATTAAAAAAATGTCAATGAAGCTAGAAAGAGAAACAATGTACGAAAATCCCCCGTCCTTATCTTGTTATAGATAACTTTATATATCATATTTTCATACCCAAAAAAAAACTTTATATATCATATTGTGAATAAAATATGTTATCAAAAGATTCATGAATCTATCCAGTCTTATGTTAAGAATATTTTTCATATACATATTACATGTATATACCTATATTTAGTCTCGTTATTATATATATATATATATATTAAAACTGGATAATGCATGTTTGATATATATCTCATTATATCCAAGTGTAATATATTTGCAAGCTCGTACAGCGTATATAATTAGTGGATGTTAAATTAAAATGATTGAATGATCGTTTATAAGAGAAGTATAACCGCTGAAAATCATTGGTCAACTATATTTCGGATAAATATTTGAATCCGTATGATAGCTAGTACTAATAAATGTATTAAACAATTAAGTTATAGTTGTAATAAATTAAGTGGTAGAAAAATCAACAATAATTTAGTAAGATAATTGGAGAGCGCATGCATTTAATTTAGAAACCTGATTCCGTTCTCTTTGTTAGACAATTGAAAACTCGTGTTATACATCTTTTTTTTCTATGTTACACAAAGGCCACAAATTACACAGATAATAAAATTCAAAATATAATTTCAAATCGTATAATTTTTTTGAAAAAATTATTTTGTCCAAATTTTTAATAATATGATTATTGAAATTTATATATTCTATAAAATGATATATTCAACGTATTAATGTTTTTTTAATGATTATTAAGACCTGGCATATATCCAAATTTTTGTATTTATGTGAACTATTTTATGGATATATGTTTGAAATTTTACACACATACATACATACATACACACACACACACATATACATACATACATACATACATACATACATACATACATACATACATACATACATACATACATACATACATACATACATACATACATACATACATACATACAATGTAACACGTGTGCAGTCGTGGACAAGGTAATCTTAATCTTATCTAAAAGCATGATGAGATAGATGATGATGATGATGATGATGATGATGATGATGGGTTGGTGCGAGTCGTGCGACAATGGGCATATATACATATATGTATACATACATATATATATATATATATTTATCGTAGTTATCAAATTAGGTTTGATTAAATTATACGATTCGTCATCATGGGTTTGTCTTTTTTGTTTCCTCTATGTTCCGTTTCCACGTCGTTGGAGGCTTGAAGCTATTTTACAAATATTTGTGACGTGTCATTGGATCACCACCTTTGATTGGGACACAAATATTATAAGATGCCGAAATGGTTCAGCTTTGTATTTCGAATACATGTCAAACTTCAAATACTTTATACTCGATTAAGAATATGCACAATTATTTTTTTCAAATCGGTTCAAACTCGTTGGTGACAAAAAGAAAAAAGTTCGGTTCAAAATCCTGATATCAGATTTTTTTTTTTTACAGTCCGAAACATGATATTTTCTTTAAATACTGTACTCGAATCGGGTTATTATTGATTATTTTTGTTTTTTAAAATATATTCGGATATCTAGTTGTTTGTTTTTTTTACAAAAAATTTGTCATAAGTGAAAAAAAAAACAGGTTAAAGGTTAAGGTCCAATGTTTTATCATTTTGGGCTTAATTTTACGTATAAGGTAGGACTCGGCCCACTAAAAGGAAAACAGATAAAAACATTGAAAGCATATAAAGTGGCCCATGATGACCATAACGTACCCCCTACTTACTTTGGGACATACCGTAATTACTCGAAAATTTGATAAATCATGTAATTTACACTTTATTATAATTTTTTTATAATCCGGAAGTTCACCGAACCTTTGGCCCGACTACATCTCTCAGAGGACCAGGTGAATATCCCTCTCCACGCTTGGATTTGAATCCAGGATGAGAGCATGCTTTGCATGTATTTTCACCACTAGACCACCCAAATTTGAGTATTATTAAATTTATATTTGTATTACAAAATTTAAAATTAATTATTTTGAGCCTCGAGTTTGCTGCTGCTTGCTGATAATGAGAATGCTGAGAGAATCGGTGTTGCGTCTGGTTTGACACTTGCGTCTGCGTTTGCAACCGCCGAAGAACTTGCTTTTGCTGCTGTCGATTTGGCACTTGGATCAGCGTTTGGAGCCGCCGAGTAACCCAAAGTGGTCGCTGATTAGCCACTCGAGGAACATGCGTCTGCGTTTGAGACCGTTGAGGAACCCACCGTTGCTGCTGAACAGGGGGACTAGCGTCTGCGTTTGGGGCCGCTGAATAACCTGAAGTTGCTGCTGATTAGGAACTTGCGTCTGCGTTAGGGGCTGCTGAAGAGCTTGATGTTGCACCTGCATCGCTTGGTCTTGGCCTATGGACACGCCAACGGAGAAGAAGATAATCAAAGAAAACATTCGTAACGTGTTCTTCACGAAATCAAATCCAGAACCTGAAACTTTGAATCCATACATTGTCCAAAAAATATTCTCTTTTTTTTTAACAAAAAAAAAAATTCTCTTGTTTTTCCCCCACCATATTTACCAGATATTGTGGCATCGTGATTCGGCGATGGAGCTTGCCTATCGAGGATTCTCATTTCTCCGGTCAAAGTTTCCGGTCAAAGTTAGGGTTGCCATTTCGGATTTCGATTCGGTTTCGATTGGATTATATTCAGTTTTAATTATTTTGGCGTACATAAAAATTATAATCATTTGGTTTTTATATAAATTTCGGTTCAATCCAGTTTGACTCGTATTCATTTTTTTAAAACTCAATTTTTCGAAAAAACATATTTTTCGGTTATTTTTTTAATCGGTTCGGTTCAATTTAAAATTTTCAGGTTTAGAAAATTCACAACCTTTTTATTTTTATGTCTAATTCGATCCGGTTGTAGTTATATCTTATACTGTTCGATTCGGTTGGATTATTCATTTAATAACTAAAATGGACTGTTAAAATGTGATATACGTCGTATGTGTCGTCTGTATTCGTATATAATTTTCTTCACAAAATTTTATGAGAAATGTTCTTCACTTTAAAAAAATTAATGATCTGATTATAATAATTTATTATTCAAAATTTGCCAGTTCAGTCAGGTAATTTTAAAATCAAATAATATCATCCTTTTAACATTCTTTTGTGTATTTTCTTCCCCTTTATCACGTGCAATCCAAAACGACACCGTCTTGTTTCCGCCTCGCCTCTCACGCTGATGACACGTGACATAACGTACAAAAACGCACCGTTTAGGACTTTTTTTTCTGTTTCTTCCTTCTCTCTCTATCCAGTGTCTCTCCACAATCGCCCCCTCTCTATTTTGCCGAGAAAATTTTCCTACGAACTAATACTCAATACAAATGCTTCCACTTTAGCTCCATAATTTCAGACACTTCCTCTTCTTCGATTCAATCTCTCCTCCTTTCTGTATTCAATCTGCGAGAGTGATTATCAATCCAATCCTTTTGGCTTTCTCCCCGTCCGGAATTTTTTCCGTCAACTGTTTCTTCTTCCTTCTCCGAATCCAACGAAGCTTGGAGGTTTCGACGAGTCCCTGACTGCCACCGTTTCTCGACGGGGAAAAAGATTTCCAGAGGTGTGAGAATCTTTTCCTTTTTTCTTTTGTGCCTCGTTTTTTTGGGAATTTGCGAAGGTTGTTGCATCGCGGGACTGTTATTGGCATTGTGCATGTCTGAGGAACGATTCTGGATTGGAATTGTATTGTTCGATTTGATTTGCATTTTGATTTTCTGATTGTTTTGAGATTTGGGAAATCGAATTTAGGGTTTTGTTTGGGTTGTTGTTGTAGAGGCAATGCGTAATGGTGTTGGGGTCCTTTTGGCCCTGTGGAAGAGTATCTCTGTTTTCTTGTGATCGTCCCTCTGTTTGGCGCGCACGGCATCACGGAGGTTTGCTTCCGAAACTCTCCTGCATCTTTCGGTGTCCTGTGATTGTTGGATTGGTTGGTGTGATTTTTGAAGTTAACTACCATTCCATTCTGTAAGGAATTTGTGAAAATAGAAACTGAAATTGTTGTCATTGAACAGTTTCTTGTTGGAGTGTTAGAGGAACTGCTTAGTTGAGCATGCCTATGTGCTTAATAGTGTGGAGCTGCTTAAGTTTCAAAATAATTAAAGTTTTGGTTGTTGTGCCAGTGCAGTTTGCTAGATAGTTGATCCCCGAGAAGAGATGGTGTTTGTTTCTCTTGTGGCTGCTAGGTTTTAGGGATTCAGTTCTAAGTTTATTGTTGGTTGGAGATATCTGTTTTACTCTCTTTCTCTTATCTTTCATGTGATGGCAGTATGCTTTGCCCTGATATTAATTCAGTTTCAGTGTCCATGTTTGACGAATTGACAGATGCTGATGGCTCTTAGGAAAAACATTCCGAATGGGGATCCGATCTCTCTCTCTATGAATGCTTTGAGTTTTTCCAGAAAATTGGCAGCCAATGTGCAGATTCCAGACCCAAATACGGCTCAAAGTGTTGAGCATGATGTTGATTTGGACCTACGAGAAGTTTACTTTTTGATAGTTCATTTACTTTCATCTGGACCATGTCAGAGAACATACACGCTGTTGCGGAGTGAACTTCTTGAGCACCAGCTTCTTCCTAGAAGATATCATGCTTGGTACTCAAGGAATGGCTTGTCTAGTGGGGATGAAAACGATGATGGCATTTCTTTTCCTTTATCATACACTGACTTGGCGGAAAGGTAACTGATAAAGTTGATCGTGGTACTTGTGAAGGCTTTTTAATAGCTTTTTGGATGTCGTTTTTAAGTAATATTGGCCTAGAAGTGAACTATTTTTCCTTTATGGTCTTCACCCTGTGGTTTGTTATATTGTGTAATTGGGACTGCTTTTAGGATATTTTCTCTTATCCTAGTCAAACATTCTAGCCTTTTTCGTAACATCGTATTTGTGCTTTTAGACATCCTCACGTAAGAAAGGATCACTTGGTGGAGCTTCTGAAGCAATTAGTCTCTGCTTTAAGCAGACCTTTTCCTTCACGAGGCATTGGTGATGGCAAGAATCTGAATGCAGCTGATGTGCCGACACTTCTTGGGACTGGTTCCTTTTCCCTTTTGAGCTGTAGGTGATACCTAAAATTTCGTAATTTTGTATTTGGTGCTTGGACAACTATAGACACAAATAGATGTGTTCCTACATGCATAAATTCATGCAACTTCAACGAGAGGCTGATTTGATGTTTTCTCTTGTTGTCTGAAAAAAATATAAAAGCACTCTTATCGTGCATTGAATGAGTTTTGTTTGATATATTAAAGCTTGCACCCTTGTTTCCTCAGATGACAAGGACCGGGGAATAGTTGATTTTAAACCTCCACCTATTCGCATGCGCTGGCCTCACATGCATGCTGATCAGGTTCGTGGTTTAAGTTTGAGGGAAATTGGAGGTGGTTTTGCCAGACATCACCGTGCTCCATCTATTCGTGCAGCATGTTATGCCATTGCAAAACCATCATCGATGGTACAGAAGATGCAGAATATCAAGAGGTTACGTGGGCACAGAAATGCTGTGTACTGTGGTATGATTTTTTAATCTTTAGAAGATGGGAGGTGAATCTTATCATCATGTTTAGATATTAACATCTTGCTGGGTCGGAATGGATATCTGAACTTTGATGTGAATCTTGCAGCTATATTTGATCGTTTAGGAAGATATGTAATCACCGGTTCAGATGACCGCCTAGTAAAAATCTGGTCAATGGAAACTGCATATTGCTTGGCCAGTTGTCGAGGGCATGAAGTGAGTTCCAAACGTTCAATGATAAATTTATAAGTTGTTCGGTGTATTCATACATCGCGTTTAAATATTTGCCTTTCTGTGCTCGTGTTAGGGTGACATAACTGATCTTGCTGTGAGCTCAAACAACACTTTTGTAGCATCTGCATCAAATGATTGTGTTATTCGCATTGTAAGTTTCTTGTGTCATTCTTCTATATGTCTTTTCGCTGTGACTTGTTTATATTAGACTCCTTCATGACTTTCCCTGTCTGGATTTGGTAGTGGCGTCTGCCAGATGGGCTGCCGGTTTCTGTTCTCCGTGGACATACTGGAGCTGTTACTGCCATTGCGTTCAGTCCTAGGCCGGGTTCCCCATACCAGCTTCTTTCGTAAGGGTCATTTCCCATTTTTTGTTGATACCATCTCCATCCGTCTGATGGGTTCTTTTTCCTGTTTTCTTCTCTTTTTGTAATAATTTGTTAACCATTGTTGTTTTATCCCCTATTTTCCTTTGTTGTCATCATTCACGTCACGCCATATCTACAGCTTTAGAGTTATAGTTAAGAACAATCTTTAGATCGCAAAGCTGGAGGGTTATTCTATGTACTTTTTGTCCATATATTCGTTCGATTATTATTTACTGGCTGAAATTTATGCTACTGAATTATTATCGAGTTGTGACATGTTTGTCTGTCCTCTTAGTCACTGATTACATTATGTTGTTGTGATATTCTATCAACTTTTCCAAACAGTGGTGCTTGATCTCCACTGCGTTTTTTCTATGTTGCTTGAACCTTATCTCCATGCTCTGCAGATCATCAGATGATGGTACTTGTAGGATATGGGATGCCCGGGGTACCCAGTTCGCTCCACGGATTTATGTGCCTAGGCCTCAAGATGGTTATTGATTTTGTTGATTTTGTTTCTTACTTAGCTGCTTTTTGCTTTGAGCTTCTAAAACTTGTAGGGCTGACTTAGTTTCCTATTTCAGGGAAGAACAGTGGTCCTTCTTCGAGTAACACTCAGCAAAATCACCAAATCTTTTGCTGTGCATTCAATGCTAACGGGACAGTCTTTGTCACTGGCAGCTCTGACACTCTTGCTAGGGTTTACCTGGTACTGATAATAGTAGCATATTTTGAATACTTTTGTGTTGATTTTCCGTTGGAAATGACAAATTCCCTTTTATTTTCTGCTAAATTGTGTGTAGAGTTTATGTATTAATTGCAATGAATTGAATACTGCATCACAGGTCTGGAATGCTAGTAAGGCTAATAATGATGACATGGACCAGCCGAACCACGAGATAGACATCCTGGCTGGACATGAAAATGATGTTAATTATGTTCAGTTCAGGTTAGCTTCTCTCTCTCTTTCTCCCTAATAATCTATTCTAAGCTACTAGATGTCTTGACTTGGGATTTATTGTGTGGGTTTCCAGTGGTTGTGCTGCAGGATCTAGGTTTGCTGTGGCTGACTACTCAAAGGAGGAGAATGTTCCAAAGTTTAAGAATTCATGGTCTGTATTTTCCTATTGCTTATATATAGTGTTTCAATTTATGTTAATTATTCCCGTTTACCATGTTTAATATTTGAGACTCACTTAACTATAATTTCTAGGTTCTGTCATGATAACGTAGTCACATGCTCTCGTGATGGTAGTGCAATCATCTGGATCCCAAAATCACGGAGATCCCATGTAAAATTTAAATTTATCCAAGACAATTGTGACCTCTGTAAGTTCTAAACATTCTCCTCAGAGCAGAACATAATTTATTGTTTTGTCTTTCAGGGAAAAAGTTGCCGGTGGACTCGAGCTTATCATCTCAAGGTTCCACCTCCTCCAATGCCACCTCAACCTCCAAGGGGTGGGCCACGTCAAAGGATTCTACCTACTCCGCGTGGGGTTAATATGATTGTCTGGAGCCTAGATAATCGCTTTGTCCTTGCTGCTATCATGGGTAATATCATTCCCCTTGTTAAAATTATTCATTTCTCAGAGTTCATCTGGGAGATTTTCCTAAGTGCTCCATTTCTGTTGGTTTAACTAGAATCCTTTTGTCTGTTATAGATTGCAGGATATGCGTGTGGAATGCTTCTGATGGTAGCTTGGTACATTCTCTCACTGGTCACAGTGCATCTGTAAGTGGTCAAGCCCATCTACATTCTCTGACCAGACATAGTGTTATCATCTTAAGACAACGATGTGAAAAGCTGAAAAGGCTTTTGTACTTTTTAGCCTCAAAAAATAAAAAGGAAATAGAAAATGTCCGAAGTTCCAGGAGCAGATCCACCCGGTATTTCAAGTATAGGTCACTTGGTTTCGTTAGGTGAAAGTATCCCCCAAGTTTGTGTAAAAGGATCCACGCCTCTTTTATCATTGATTATTTTCTTCGTGTCTGATAAATAGGAGAGGACCTGGTATTATCTGGTTATTTGATTGTTACATTGTCTTGGATTTGTTATTCAAGCGCATTGGATCTCACTGTGTCATATATCTTCTATGTAGACATATGTACTTGATGTTCATCCTTTCAATCCTCGGATAGCTATGAGTGCTGGCTATGATGGGAAAACAATAGTCTGGGATGTAAGTTTTGGTTTCTTCATTTGATAGAGATGCTCCGTGGTTTTAATCACTAAAGAATCTCTTCTGCTATGCTTCTAGATATGGGAAGGTGTGCCGATCCAGATATACGAAATTTCACATTACAAGTTGGTCGATGGGAAGTTTTCACCGTAAGTAAATAATTTCATTTTATACCAAGTATATATTTCATTCGGTTGCTATCTTATATCCCTTGTAATGTAGGGATGGAACATCAATTATACTTTCAGATGATGTTGGACAACTATACGTATTAAGCACTGGCCAAGGGGAGTCTCAAAAGGATGCCAAATATGACCAGGTACCAAAATACCTTCCACAACAAAATGAAACTTCATTTTATACCTCTATTTTCTAGGTAATGTAATTCTTTTACGTTCCCTTGGTGCATCTCGCAGTTTTTTCTTGGGGATTATCGTCCTTTAATTCAGGACACATATGGGAACGTCCTCGACCAGGTCAGTTCGATCATTTTTTTTCTTCTTCTGGTGCTTCTGCATATAGATATATAAACTCTTATTGTTGTATTTGTAACTCTGCTGGTCATATCGCCATTGCTCAGGAAACACAGCTTCCTCCTTATCGGCGAAACATTGAGGACCTTCTTTGCGATTCAGGTTTCTAATTTCTTTTGCTTCACTAACATGTATTTTGTTTATCTTGAATCCTTCCATTCATGATCGGCTGGCATATCACTCGATCTGTGTGTTGACGTTGTAGGCATGATTCCATATGATGAGCCATATCAGACAATGTTTCAAAAACGTCGTCTTGGTTCCTTAGGCAAAGAATGGCGGCCATCATCTTTAAAGCTTGCTGTGGGGCCAGACATAACTTTAGATCAGGACTACCAGATGCCACCATTGGCAGACCTAGACTTAGCGATCGAACCTCTGCCAGAATTTGTAGATGCTATGGATTGGGAACCAGAAAATGAGATCTTAAGTGATGATAATGATTCGGAGTACAATGCACCTGAAGAGGATTCATCTGCAGGGGAGCAGGAAAGCTCTTCAACCTCTGGTGAGTCAGTTTCTGGTTCTGGGAAAAGCGATGAGGAGGGCGATCATCACAATAGCCTTAGAAGATCTAAGAGGAAAAAACACAAGACAGATGTAAGTACTACAGATTATTGGCTTAAAATCAAGGCTAGATTTGTTACTTATCCTTTTTTTCCCTCTTTTCCAGACTGGGATCATGACTTCTTCAGGCAGGCGTGTTAAAAGGAGGAACTTTGACGAGCTTGATGGAGCTCCAAGCAATAGCAAGCGTACTAGGAAATCTAGTAATGGCCGTAAAGAATCAAAGAAAAAATCTTCGAAATCTAAATCATCAAGGCCACGGCGAGCTGCTGCACGAAATGCCCTCACTTGGTTTTCTAAGATTACTGGTACATCTAAAGATGCAGAAGAGGAAGATGGCTCTGAATTGAGTGATTCATCAGAAAGTGAATCTACATCGCATGATACAGATACTGGGGATAGTGAACTTGATGGAGCTTTATCAAATGGACATGGAAAGCAATTGAAGGGAAAAGAGATTCTTATCTGTCATCCAGAGGATGGAGCTCAACAACGTGATTTTGCAGAGTCTCATAATGCTGAAAGGAGGAGACTGGTGCTCAGATTTCCTGTTCGGAATTCAAATAAGCTTACGCTTCTAGAGAACACACTCAGATCATCCTCTGATGTTCCATTTCCATCTTCAGATAATGTTAGTGTCAAAGACTTGGTGGATTCTGAGAGCTCTAAGATTCACTCGGACCAACGTGAAGGATTGGATGTGGGTAAAATCAAGTGGGGAATGGTTAAAACTCGTACATCAAAGAGAAAAAGAGCTAGCAAAGCCATGTTGCCAAGTAGATTTACTAGCTCTAACTTGCTGGAAAAGGAAAGTAATGTTAGTGAACACATGAACCACCATGATAATGGTGACATAACTCCTAGTTGTGCTGGAGTTCAGAGGGATATGGATGCCACTGTAGCTGTCATTGATACCGTGACTTCAAATGGGATGCCAAATGGCGAGGAACAATCTACTAGGCTGGACGGGTCACCCAATGGATCTAAGATAGCTGATGAGGTGCGTGCCTCTAGCTGTTCTCAGCATGCACCTGGTCATTTGCATGATCTAAAGGACAGTCTTCCACCTATATCTATGAAGATGAAAATACGTTCAAAGAGGATTTCAAGGGATCCCGAAGCACCGCTGAAGCAGGAAACGAAATCATTGGCAGCAGATCAGGAGAATGGTGGAGCTGATGCAATACTCGTTGGTTCTGCAGACAATAAATGTGACACTGCATCAGAAATACACGTGGATGATGGCGTGGTTAGAACAGATTTAATCATGAGAGATGAACCTGAGCAGGAATCAAATCCTCAGATGAATGATCCTGTCTCAACTGCAAATGATTCTCCGGGGTCAAGTTCATATCCCAAAAAGATGTTTGATTATGTTTACAGAAGATCGAAATTACGCAAACAAAAGAGTATGTCTGGTGGGGATGCCAGTGTCACTCAAGAAACGACTCGGGGTTCCTGTAGTCAGGATCAGAATACGAGCGCAAATTCCCATGAAGCTACCACTAATGGGTTCCATGGGACTCAGTCCAATGGATTGCAAAACTTGACTGGTGGTTCAACACAGATGTCAGAAAAAATACAAGATTCACTGGATTCGGGTACAGATAATCAGAACAGTTCTGCTGCAGGAAGACACCAAAACCCTCAAGAAGAATGGGGATCGACTTCTAGAGGAACAGTTCGGCTGAGGTCCACAAGAAACAGAAGGTCTAGCTATCATTTTAGTGAAACTAAGCCTGTTGACAAGAAGAAACATCAGCAGTTAACAGAAAAGGTATCGTGGTTGACTCTGTCAACAAACGAGGAGGGTTCCCGCTATATTCCACAAAAAGGGGATGAAGTTGCGTATTTGAGACAGGTAAAGGAACATTCTGATCTTGTTCTTTGCCCTACCACCTCTAGGTAGTTTATTTAAACTGCTGCACTTGTTTCTCTCTTATCTTTCAGGGGCATCAAGAATACTTGAACTTTAGCTCCTTGAGGGAAGTGGGTCCTTGGTCCTCAATAAAGGGTGGGAATATAAGGTCGGTGGAGATTTGTAAGCTCGAAAGCCTCGGATATTCAACACTTCCTGGTTCTGGGGACAGCTGCTGTAAAATGATACTGAAGTTCGTTGATCCTGAATCTGAAGTGTTTGGTAAATCGTTCAAACTGACTCTGCCCGAGGTGGTGACGTTCCCAGATTTTCTTGTGGAAAGGAGTCGATATGAAGCAGCGATACAGAGGAACTGGACTTGCAGGGACAAGTGTAAGGTATGGTGGAGAAACGAAGGGGAAGAAGACGGAAGCTGGTGGGAAGGTCGGATTCTGGCTGTGAAGCCCAAATCACCAGATTTTCCGGATAGTCCATGGGAGAGGTACACAGTTAAATACAAGAGTGACCCAGCTGAGACTCATCTTCACAGTCCCTGGGAGCTTTTTGATGCTGATACTAAGTGGGAACAGCCTCACATTGATTATGAGGGCCGAAACAAGTTGCTTTCGGCCTTTTCCAAGTTAGAGAATTCCGGCAAAAGATCTCAGGTCTGTGATTTCTGTTGATTTTCTCTAAAAATCTCTTCTGCATAAACGTCTATAGCCTTCACCCGAGAAAGTGATCTGCTCAGAGTTTACAACTTTTACGTAACGTTTTCTCTGCTCGGGGTTTTAGAGTAGATTTAAGCATATGTGGAAACTTAATGAGAATTCATCATTTCTGATTCTAATGTCAGGATTCATATGGCGTTCAAAAACTGACCCAAGCAATGAGCAAATCCAGCTACACCAACAGGTACGTTTCCTTTTCCGCCCTCTTATGAAAGCCACAATGAACAGTTTTGTTGAACAGGGGATCTGGAATTGAATGGAATCTTATTGCAGGTTCCCAGTTCCAATAACGTTGGAAGTGATTCAAGAGAGGTTAGAGAAAAACTACTACCGGAGTGTGGAAGCGTTGAAGCACGACGTGTCGGTGATGCTGTCCAATGCAGAAACGTTCTTCAGCAGAAACCCTAGCTTGACTGCCAAAATACACCGCCTTTCAGACTGGTTCGACCGTACACTTTCTTTGTAGTTTCTTTCTTAGATTCTGTAGATAGATCCTGCCTTTTTTTTTTCTTCTGATTCTCTCAAATCATCTAGGGTTTAGGTTTTTTTTTTTCAAATGGAAAGAAGGAAGTAGGTCAGTTGATATTGGAAATTACCTTTGCCGCAAGAAAGAGAATTCCTCGGCATTATTGCATAGAGAACAAAATTGATTTGAGTAGGAAACCAAACTTTCGCTCTCAGAGTCAAGACTAGTATTGTCAAAGAAACTACAATCGTGTATATGATCATTATAAATTTTTTTTATATACAATTTTAAGATAGAAGGAAAAATAGAAAGTAATTGGAAACAAAAAGGAAAATAAAAAAACGAACATCTTCTAATGTTTTGAATAAAAGTCTTAGTGCAATAAAATATCTACTAAAATTTATTGAAATTTTTTTAAGTTAATCTAATTTTCTTTTTTTGTAAAATTTATCATCTTAACAAGGTCCGTGCAAAGTAAGAAAAATATTTGTAGGGGTGGGTGTTATTTTTCTTTTTGTAAGACTTTCACTAAGTACCAAATGTATGTTACTTTTTATCTCTTTTTCTGCCATTTTTCAAATATTATATTTTTTTCGAAAATTTAAAAGAACTATTATCATGGATCCATATATTTTATATTTCTAATAATAATTATATTTAAAATTAGAAAACAAATAACTATATATGCAAAATGAGCCTTTTGCGGGCTTCAAGACTCTTTAAAAGGGCCTATGAAATCACCTAAAAATTGAAGGCCTAATGGGCCGACTGAATATTAAAAAGCCCATATCAATTCATATGGACTAAGAAAAAACCCACACTAAAAAAGCTTACGATTTTTTATATAAAATAAAAAATAAAAGACACAGATGCTTCTACACGCGCGCATATAGGGCGTATACGACACCGCCCCGAAATGCCTGGGTTATAGTCCAGTGATTTTGCCCATTTTCCATCGATCCAGAAAAACCGCGCGTGGGCGAAATTTATAAGCGCCCACTTTTTGTTTTTTGTCGCACAAATGCTTTTTTTTTTTTCCTGAACGTAATTCGCCGAGAACCAAAAACAAAAGAAAGAAAAACAGTTATTCTCCTCGTGATTTAATTGTTTCCGATTTATTTATTTTTCTTCTCACTTTTAGAATTTTATTTTTTCAAGCAAACACTAAGGGATTTGAGGACCAAAGGAAAAAAAAAACTAGAGCTGATAGAATGTCTTTCAATAAGATAAAAGTAGCCGCAGGACAAAAAGGGATTCCAAATCATTTGGAAGTCTATTATTATGCTTCTCCTAATTTTAAAAGGGAAATCAATGATTTTTTTATATTAACTTAGCTCCACGTTTCGGATATATATATATATATATATATATATATATATATAGATTGGACAGCGGAGGTGCTTTTTTTTTTCTTTTTGAGTTTATGGATTCGAAATGAACTGTCTGAAACTAAAGTTTTGATACTAACATTCCAAGCTCTTTTAAAATTTGAAATTTCTTATAAACTTATCAAATCAATTTAAGATTTTTCTACTTTGAACTAAAAAATATGTAAAAAAATAAATAACAAAATATCAATCATCAACATTAACATTGTTTTAATTCCAAGATTATTTTATCGAATTCTTCATTTTCACTCATTTCTATTTTGAATTAACTCTATCGAAATTTATTACAATTTCAAATTTTACAATTTCAAATTTTATATTATTAGAATTCATTATATGTAAGATATGATATTAGTTTATGTAAGATATATCATTGGTTTTAAATTTGGTGGCTATCAATCTATCGCAAAATCTTCTAATCTTTTATCCGAATTTGGGATCGGTTAGATAAGAATAAACTTGCTAACATAGAGTTAAATAAACAAAATATCAATCACCTCAAAATAAGAACAGCCATTTTGAATTGTATTTGTAGAAGACAAAGTATGTGTTTTTTCCTAAAATAATTATATATATATAAAGAAGCAGCAGTTGATAAGGCATTGATTAAAACAAAAGAGGAAGAAACAATCAACCTGAGGAACTGCTCCCTTTTTCTTTCACAAGTGAAAGTGAAGCCTAAAAGATGCAGAAACAAAACTCCAAAAAGAGTTCATTACAAAACCAAACGCATAAACTGACCAAACATAAGTAAAAGGTTTCAGAGAAGATCAAAGAAGAAGCCATATATGATTGTCTTCTTGCAGAGCTGAAACGGTACTGTAATCTCTTGGGATCAATTTCACTCCCGTCGGCTGCGCCTCTTGCTCTTCTTTCTACTGCTCCTGTCATCACCAGAATCCGAGTCCGATGCAGTTTCAGAATCAGAAGATTCGGATGACGAGCTGTATCTTCTGCGCCTTCCCCTTCTGTGATTTTGTGTCTTCTTCTTCTTCTTCGTCTTGTTCTTCCTTCTCCTTTTTCGCTCTTCCTCTGAGTCTGAAGATGAGCTGTAATCTGAGCTACTCTCTCCAGAGGAGTTGGAACCAGTAACTGATGATGACCCGCTATCAGTTTCAAACACCGAGGCTTCACTGTCACTACCGGAGTCAGAGTCTGATCGGTGTTTTCTCTTGCTCTTCTTGGAATTCTTCTCAGCTTCTTTCTCGGTTTTAGCATCTGGCTCACCATCCTCCAGGTCGGATGAGATCGAAAGCTTTGTTCTGAGTTTAGGGTTTTTAAGTTGCTGGGTTCTGGAGGGCCGAGAGATGTAGACTCTCTCGTTCTTGCACTCGTAAGTCCAGTGCCCAGTTTGGAAGCATTTCTGGCACTGTGCAGCTGAGGTTCCCACAGCAAAGGAAGTTGACTTGTCTTTTCTTTCTCCCAATCTAACAGCCTTTTCGGTACTCATCAAATACATCTGCCTTTTTGCTTCCCTTTTCTCCTGCCATCGGCTCGGACCTTCTTCCTTCTGCCCGTATGCATTCACGTTCCTTGCTGCAGCGGCAGCAGCACGTTCAGCTTGGGTACGGCTAAGTCCTTTGGCAGCAGTCAGAGCTGCAGCCTTGATCCTTTCGGCTGCTGCCTGAGCTTTTTCTTCCTTGGAACTCGACATCCTCTCCCGGTCTGCCTTCACTTGTTTAACCAAAAAAAATACTGAGACCTACTTCAAAAGTCCAGAAACCAAGAACCCAGAGCTTATCCTTTATTATCCTCATTCAAGAAATCAGCCAAAATTTAAATAAATTTACTAAGAGACAAGCAAAAGAGATAGTAACAGAAACTCTTCGCCAAAGGAAATGCGAATCGTAAGGCATTAGCAATGGGAAATCAGTTTTAACAAAAAAAAAGACAAACATCCTCTTTCAGACCCAATCTTTGATTCGAATGAAGCCAAAGACTTGAGACATCAAATCAAAGCCAATTCTTCCAGTTTGTGATAGATTCACTTCTCGGAACAAATATAAACAGAATGAAGTTTGAAGTTTCAGCAAAAACAGTAAAACCCTAATTTCGCATACAAGACGACATGACGAATAATTAACAACTCGAAGCCCTAGATTTGGATGATTTCCTCGAAATCGATGCCACAGAGTACGATTTGAAAGAGAAAAACACTAGGAAAGAACCACACGGTTCGTCTAATTCCGTTCTGCGAGTGAATCAAAACAACAGAGGGAACTCCGAAAACGAGGAGAACCACGCGTAGAAGAAAGAGGAGAGAGAATTGAATCAAAAGGGGAAAAGAAACGAATGAAACCTGGTGGAGGGACCGGAGAAGCGTAGGCTGTCCGCTTCTTCTTCTCTCGCAGTCGGACGAGTTCCCTACGATCTCCCCTTTCTCTAACTATTAACTCCAACCCCTCCCTCCCACGTGGAATCAAACATATATATATATATATATATATATATATAATAATAAGGAATATGAGGTGATGGTGCCTTTATATACCAAAACAAACAAAAGAGGTCTGTACGCTTTTTTTTTTTTTTCTTTTATCATATAGTTTTCAAACGTAGGTTTCATTTTCTACCGTCATTTCTAAATCCATAGCTGGATATATATATATATATATTCCAATCAAATACACGAGAATTATTAATAGCTCCTATCACTGACTGATCATTACATTGAATCATTTATTAAAATAATATTACACAGTTTTGTATAAACTGTTAGATTGTAACTCTTACACAAAATGTGCGATATACCAAACAACTAGTAGTTACAAGCAAACGAAGACAAAGATTCAATCCAACCAACAAAAAAAAAACAAGAAGTGTGCACTTTTGAAGAACACACATGCGACCGACTCCTGTAAGAAATAACCCACCCTTATTTTTTTAAATTTAAAATCAAACAATAATTACTAGTAATAACGACATCCATAAGTGCAACAATTCCAGGAGTCTTGAGAGAGAAAAAAAAAGGTTATATGAAAAATAAATACGAAGTTTGCATTTTTGGCGCTTCCTCTATAACCAATCCATCGTCATCCTCCTCACAACTCTATATTCCAACTAAATTAACCAAAAAACAGAAACCCCATTACAGTGGAGACTATCTATCATCAAAACACAAAGATCTGAACCCCACACACAGTTCATCCGGATTCGAATGAATGAAGTTACTGATGCTAATAGATTGTGTTTTTACAAATGCCACTTGCAAGTGTGTGTGTGTGTGTGTGTGTGTGTATATATAGAGAGAGAGAGGGAGAGAAAGGGGCTGGAAAACACTATATGAACAAGAACATTACCTCTGGTCACCATCCATCCGTCGGGTCTCTATACAGTTTCTTCTTCAACTTCCATTACTATCATAAAGCAACACCACATACACACTCCCTTTCTTTTCTTTTTTCTGCCTTTTTGTCTCACAGTTCAGTTCAGTTCAGCTCAGCTCAGCCGCCATTAAACTGGCTTCTGTCACAGCCTGCAAAAGTGCAAGAACACAGCCAGCCAGAGCGCCAAAGCCATTTCTGGATCCAATCTATTCTTCCAACCTGTTGTTAAAAGCTCAGGATCCATTCACAGCCATTTCTGGTGATGATTTCTGTGGCACTAATCGAGATTCATCATCCCCACCGGTTAGCTTTCGGTTGTCTGATGTTTCGTGCTTGCTGTCAGTATCATCTAAGCTCCGGGAAGTGGATTCCTCTTCGTCCTTACGGTTCTCGTCATCTGAACTGCCTCTGCTGTTGCAATTTCTGGTGTTCTCAGGTTCATTAGTTTCTTCTTGTTGTTGTTCTTCTGGCGAGGTTTTGTTTGCTTCGGTTGAGCGGGTTGCTGCAGATGCGGTGGTGGTGCCTGCAGTTTTCTTACCCGGAAGCACTGCCTGGCTAAGCGTCGAACAGAGGGCAGCAAATACGCTTTCCTTTTTGCAACTTTTAACCAACCGCTGTTTTTTCGATGGCTCCTGCTCTCTTTCTCCAGACAAGGATTTGCGTTTTAGCCTAAGGAACTCAACTTCTTCTTCCTCTTCAGAAGCTTCCGGTTGTTTCCGGGGAGGTGGTTTATAGTTTTCATCGTCATCGTCATCATAGTCTACCAGTCCACCAGACCTCGGGCTATACATTAATGAGAACAGTAAGACATCCATCCATTACCAATTTACCGCAGAAAATTTGTTTATATGTAACTTTCATGAATTTCAACTATGAGGCTATTAATGTACCTTGAAGATGCATAGCTCGAGGCCACTCCATTGGAGATATGGGGCTTTGGTTGTTCTTTTTGTGTGTTAGAAGCAGATGCTGTATCTTCTTCGTCGCTGTCAGTATCAAGTTTGGATAGAAACCATAAGAAAAAAAAGGCAAGGAGAATCAGACGGTTACAGATGTGTTAACTTTGTTCAGACCTGTCCCCGTTGAAATAGTCTTCCTCCTCTTTATCCAAAGCACGCTCATCAATTCTTCTTCTAGGTTCAATCGAATCAGCATTGCCCTTCGGTCCAGCACTCTCTAAGCACTGCAGATTGTCGTTAGGTAAGGAACACCAAACCAAATCTCCAACGCAGAAATCAAGACCTTGACACAATAGTATACCTGCTCATATTTCACCTTGAAAGCCTGGATGGAGGTCAAGTGCTCAAAGGGAGCCAATTGTTCCCAGAAGGTATCAACTACATATTTGAGCAACACTGTTGCATTACCCTGAACCAAAAAAAAAGTGGTCGATGATATTATATACAGAGCAACATCAATAAGGACTTAAGATGCAAAAAGGGTGAAAACAAGAAGAAAATGGAACCTTGCGTATGTGCTCAAGAAGCTCCAGCACAGCGGAGTTAAGCAGATTGTATCGGTTGCCATTGGCAACAAATACATCAATAATCGGTTTCAGCAGATTGCTCTTAACAATATAATTTTGCACGTACTCATCCTGAAATACAAAAACGTTTCAGCAATTCTGTATTACCCTTTAAAATTTATTGATCCAGAGGAACTTTGTTAAACACAAAAGCAAAATAAAAGCATGCAGAAAAGTTCACTCACTTATTTTGTATATTGCAATTTATTTCATTTATTTTAATAATCCTGATCTACTCAAGATGCTCATGCTTCTTAAATCGCAGATACTAATAGGCCTCAAACTTTCAATCATAAAGAGGCAGAAAGGATTTATTCCAGAGAACAAATCTTCAATTTCTCACGTTTCTTCATAGTTTTGCACTCAGCAAAACTGGAAAAACAAGTATCTGACTGTCATTTCCAAGGAATCATTTAAATCTATTCCAAAATTTACTTACAAGCACAGCAAGAAGAGTTCGGACAAAGCGAACAGCAGCAACCACTAGGTATTTTTCCTTTCTTCGTGTGAGATGCAAAACCTTTTCTGTCACATTATTATGAAGAAAATTGCACCTGTAGACAAGGGAAGAAAATTCACAGTATAAGAAGGTTAGTACCATTAGATTATAACAAAAAATTTACAGTGATAAGAATAAAAAGAATTACTTTGTCCTCGATGAATCTTGAAGAACGCAGAAGCACAGCAAGTCACAAATGTTTGACAAGACTTCAGGCCTCGCACTATGATGACTTCCAATTTTTCTGGCCGCACCTTCAGATTTACTGTCAGGCCTCTCAGGACATGAGGCAGTTATAACATCAACTAACTCAGGTAGATGCTTCTCATAGAAAATATCCATGATATTCGCTCTCTGCTAAAGTGAAAGATTCATTGAAGAACTTTGTTTAATAAAGATCATGACGACTCTCAACCAGACTAGAAGCAAAGCCTGAATAAGGTTCACAGAAAATTTGTAGGGCCTTTCCACCAACATCTAGTGGATATGTAAAAAAACAAAGGAAACAAAAAACAAAAAAACTAACACCAATTTGTAGACTTCAAAGACAATTTTTAGGAATGAAGTTTCAGCTTCTAATTAACTACATGCAAAAATAACCAATCAGAGCAGAAAAAATCGAAACTATCTTTCTTGATAACTTTGGACTTTCAAATGAGTCACACATTAGTAGACATAAAATGAATAGAATAACATCCCTATTCAGCTTATCAGAAAAAGGGGATAATGATTAATGAAAGGCAACAACTATGAACCTGAGCTCCACTAGACAATGCATTTGAATCCAGTAAGCTTCGTATAATTTCTAGAAACTGGCAATGCATCTTATCACCAAAATCTTCCATCAATCCCTTCACCTGTTAAACAGACAATGGAACAGGTTACTATAGTGAAGGGTTAGGTGAGCTTCACTTTAGGGGGGAAAGAAACAGGCAAGCCTCACATGTGGAGAAACAATCCAATAATCAAACAAATTACCAGGAGACCAAGGAGAGGAGTTCCTTCTGGCCGAACAATGTAAGTACGTAAAAGGTTGGAATCCTGATTCATGAAAAGAATGAGGATGTCTGTCCTGCATTCATTAACAAAAATCTTGAGTAAATATGTTAGAAATACAGAATAGATATTTGTTGTACAGACAATTGGATGGGAAAGTGAGACGATGAAAACCAAGGTACCACAACAATCTGTTATGGCTAATATACCCGGTTAATACAAGTTTCTTGTCTGGACTCTGCAAGACATCCACTACGATGTCAAAAATCCCTTCATTAATGAGATCCCTACAAAATAATTAAATAAATGAGCAGGGAGCTTGAGATACAATGACTCGTTAATAGACGATTATCAAGAAGCATTAAACAAAATAAGCCAGGTGTGATCATGAAACAACTGATACACGTGCAAAGGCCACTCTTCCAGGAGACTCATTCTCGACAACAATACATTTAGTCTCTGTAAAGTGCATACCTAAAAAGTCGCAGCTGCTGCACCACCTGGAGGCTCTTGCTTAAACTACAAAACTCAAGCAAGAAGTACACCTATTTCATACAGAATGAAAACACATCAGTCAGGTTAACTCGCCTGAATGTCAATATGGCTCTTGTAAAGAGATAATTTCCATCTATTTCCATTTCTAGTTCATCTAGATATCAGACTGGAGAAAATGCATTTAGGTTAATCACAAGGATAGAAAGTACAGTTTTCCCAGAGAATTTCTTATTCCTCTAGATCCCTTTAGAATCTTTTCTTTCCAACAAAAATTCCAAAATAAGTTCAATGCGTTATTTACACTTATATATAAGAACATCCAGTCCCAAACAAAATGAGAAGGGCATTTTGATGCTAGGAACTACCAAATTTTTCTTGGATTCTGCAGATGTAGAAGGTGACTTCAACCTTGCAAACAATTCTTGGATAAAGGTGCTGTCATCCTTCAGCAAAGAAACAACCTACAGAAGATAAAGAGCAATGAGCAAGAGAACAATACGGGATGCATGCATGCCAATATCATACATGTAAATTTTCTATGCCCAACTTACAATAGCATTGTTTGCGTGGATTATTGAATTCAAGTTTGCAACTGTAGCATCATCTAGTACTCTAGCCAAAACAACATCCTGCAAGAAATGAAAAGTCGTGACTTAAAATTACAGAAAAAAATGTGAGAAGTTTACAGAGCTTGATCATGAGATCCAACCTTCAAATAACCAATTCTGTATGTCTGGTGTATCTTTGAAAGGACTAGAGGATCTTTAATCAGTATAGCCTGCAAACAATAAAGTGCCAAGGTGATCCTGAATCTGAAATTTCTTTCCCCATGGAACCTAGATAAATCTAATTCTAAAACGGATTGCAACCAACCAAGCATCTTCTCTTCTTATCAGAACCATAATACCATATGCCTCTTGCATTTCCTAATCTATGCTTCTTGACTGGTACTAAGCAACATGGAATATAGAAAAAGGGAACATAGTATTACCTCCTTAAAAACAACGTGCTCTTTCAGAAAATTCCGGTGATGTTGCGACTGAGAAACATCAGGATCATCTGTAAGAAGAAAAAAGCAAAACACAGAAACCACAGTATCAAATATTAATTATTAAGTATTGGCCTACACAAGAATGAAAAACATCGGCAATAACTTTCACATTATACAAGCACACCCTAGATAATGAGAACACAAACGTTAAGCACAAACTATACACTTAATGAAAAAAAAAATCAAATACCAACAAGGTTTCAGAGAGACCTGAAAGGAACAGTCCATCTGATCGTTTGGGCAACAGACATTCTCGACAGAGACAGATGAGTTTCATGGCACTAAATGAATAATAAGTAGATTCCCTGCTGCGATATTTTCACAGTAACTAAAAGAGTTTCTAGAGAAATACGACTAAATAACCGATAATTATGTTCCGAATCTCATTCCCCTCACTGGTTTTCAAAAAAGATCTTTAAAGTTTGACCAGTGACAAGATACTTACACTCAAGACACCCAATAATTTCCATTATTAGTTCATCCCCAAAGATTTTCTCAAAGATCTGAGAACTATTGAGCAAAACTGCATATAAAAAACAAAAAATGTTGATATTACATAACCGTTCTGAAATATTTAAGGATGAAGAAATTTAAATAGAGAAATGTGAATACTAACTGATTCCTCTGACTATATTGAATATCATGTGAAGGCCATCAACATTTTCCAAGTCCTCACATATTTTGAATACATTCATCAGTCTCCGGAAGAAACCATCCTGCATCAAAGCAAGAACGTAGATTGAGGAGGTTTATAGGATCTACTCCTCGGGACAATATACATAAGAATAAATAACTGATGGATGAACAATTACTATTCCAGCCAAAAATGCATTTGAACACTTTTCCGTTATCTCTGGCCCATAAATTAACTGAATCCATTCCATAGCCAAAATGCATTGTGCACATGCACAAACTTTGAATCAGAGGAAAACAAAAGGAAATTACTGAGTAAAAAAATGGAGCTGTAACAAGATTTTCCCTCAAGAGAGCAAACATGGGTGTCAGACTAGAACAAAATTGTGAAGGACAAGAACACCTGTTTTTTATACAAACAAAATTAGCAGACCGTTGAAAAATATCACACACTTACATCCTTCAAAATTAGCTCAGTTAGCCGCATTTGATCTGCAATGCCACTCTCAGTCACAATCTGCAGAGGACATTGTAATAAATTATTTTAAAAACAGAAAACCAAGAAAGAAATAAAAAAAAGAAAAGAAATAAAGTTGACAAGAAAACTTCCATCTACTGATGTGCTAAAACAGATGCACACCAAAAAGATAAATATTTGGAGATAAAAGAGCCTGTAGATCTCTGATGTACAAGTGAACATATGAAGATTTGACAAACAAGAAATCATTCAGATGGTGGAGAAGGGAGAGGAGGAAGTTGAAAATGCAACGGAAAACAGCCAAGACAAGAGGAAAGAATTTATATGTAATGTTGCAATCCCCTACATAAAATATTACTACTGAGATTGCTACATTGCAATTTTAACCACAAATGAGACGAGACAAATGACAACAATGGGGAAATCATCAAAATAAATCACAACATTATGAAAGCGTAAGGCAATAGAATCTTGAAACCTTGAGTATTAGAGGAAGAGTAGGAAGCTCCACTGCAGGAAGCTCTCTCAACTCACTGTTCAGGCTGTGAAATGTTTCGCCTGCTTGATCACAGATGGTAATGTTGTCAAATACGAAATTCGTTACAGATTAAAAAGTATACAAGTAAAAGAGCCAAGCATCTAACAATGACAAAAAAGTTTCAATAACTATGTAAGTGCTGCAACAGTTTTCATTCATATATTCTGAACTCTGAAGCACAAATGGCCATAGAAACGATTTTTTAGCAAAACATTCTTATTGCTATAGCAGCAAATTAAAATGCCAAATTCCAATTCAATCACACATGAAACGGGAGCAGAATAGAACAAGAATTTACCAGATTAAAGAAGATTATCAGAAAGAAAGGCAAATAGATTATTCAATAATTATAATTTTCCAGGGAGAAAAACCTACTGTTAAGAGAGTTGAAATGCATATTTCGTTGTATAGTACAGATTTGGTCCCTGGATATGACAGAAAAGCTGGTTTAGCAGTCAGGAAGTGAACAGCAGAAATTGAGAATGGAAAAAAGAAGACATCATGAAAATTCCCATCATTCACCAAATATAAGAGCATCCGGCCGTCTCTTGAAAGCTCAATGCCATATCTGTTGAGCGCTCTGGGTCTCTCCATGAGATAATTGTGTCTGTGCATTGAAACAGATAAACACTTATCTAGAGAAAAAGAAACAGCAGACTATTGAAGATACCACAGCTAAATTCCAACCATAATGCACAAAGCGTACCTTCTTGCTTCCTGTAGATGTCCTCAGGGCTGATGTGGTGCACAATTAGTGTTTCATTGTCTTCTTCATCAATCACATATAAACCCAATTCTTCTGTTCGCTGCATTGTATAGCATTTCCACTTAATAATTAAGCCATCAGAGACTTGAGAAGTTTAATTCAGAGTGAGTGCTGAAAGTTCAGGGATCAGGAGAAAATCACGAAACCAGGTGAAAATTACTACAAACCTCCATATAGTCGATAGTGACGTGTCCAGTTCCTCGGTCATCCCATTTACCATCTTCGTTTAGACGATAGACCTTCACTCTCTGAACAATCAAAACAAATAAGAGATGGCTATTTTTCCGACAAGATGTACTTCTAGCCTAACAAGTCAGTTTTAGTTGTACAACGGAGAAACGAGATAACCACTTCACCTACTGATCCTCCCAAGTTTGGACCTTGAACATCTTGCTCATGATAGGTGATATACCCAGTCATAGGTTTTAAAAAATAAGATGTAAAAAAGTTATCGGTCAAATATTTGGCAGCCATTACTTGCAGAGAGAACCATGGATTATTGGGTCTAATATACTTGTCAACGGGGGTTGATATTACA